CGACGTCTGTGCATGGGGCGTTCCAGAAACCCAGACCCCCTCGCGTTGTGACAAAAATCACGACGGGAGGTTTTTCGCTTTTTTCGGCCTCCGGGGCCCTTCACCAGGCCTCGGGACCGTCCAACAACGACTCAGGATGAAGAGCCGGTCCCGGGGAAGGGGTCCAGACCTCTGGGGTCGACAGTGTGAAAAAATCACAACGCTGGGGGTCTGGGAAAGGCCTTGTCTTCGAGGCTCGAAGGAGTTGCCATCTCTTCCGCGGTGGAAGGGCTGCGGAAGGCGGCGGAAGTAAAACGAGGTCTCCTCCGCCAGCGGAAGGCGGCGGAAGCCCGCCGGAAGCTGCCGGAAGTAAAAGTCGGCGCCCCAAGAGATGAACACGTTTTTGGGTTCAGGGTTTCCGGAATCGGTCATACATTCACTGCTCCCTGGCCAGGCCCTTCCCTGAGCCAAAGGAGCTGCGCCAGGAGGGCGTGGCGTATTCACCGCTGCTGGGTTCAGGATGGGCCTGGCCAGGGAGCAGTGGATAGGTACGGACTTCGGCGCCCTACCACTCCGGGTGGGAGTCTCAAAGCCCTGGTCGGCAGTGTCCTTACCAGCCTGGAGCATATCCCTATCCCTAATTATGCTGGGCATCTCCTCATCGCGATGCCAATCTCAGGGAGTCCCTTGTTTTTGGAGGCCGCATCCCTAAGATCGTCATCGCTTTTCTGGCGTGTCAGTCTTAGTGGAGGATGACGATTAATAAATGACCGGGGGTCGTGTTCACGCGGCGGCGCCCAGGATGACGATTAGAAAAAAACCGGCCGCGGGTTGGACAACTATTTTTTAAATCGTTCTCCTCCAGTCAGAAACTTGAGCAGAAATAGCAGACAACTTTTTTAAAAAATCGTTCGCTCCCATTTTTTTTTTTCTTAATCGCCATCCCGCATTAGGGGTAGGGAGAAGTTCGAGGCCGGTAAATGTCCCAATTTGAGAGAGGGCCCGGCGGCGGAGCCCTGCCTCTCTTGGCCTGCGGGGGGTCCCCCTGGGCGGGGAGAGGGCTCCTCCTCCTCCTCCGCCTCCTCCTCCTCCTCGCGGAGGGCCCCGAGGGCGGAGCGTGGCCGAGCGAGCTCATGTCGGGGATGGACAGACCTCCTACCCTGACACGTCGAGTAAGGAATTGGCCGTTTTCGGTTCGCGAGAGGGGGTCGCGGCCGTCATTTCTGCGGGTCCAGGTCCGTCGGTTTCGGTCCCAGGCCGTTTTCACTAGAGGGAGGTTTACTAAAGGGAGGTTTGTCCAAAGCCGATCATGGGCGCGGGAGTGTGGCAGCGCCTCGGGGGGGGCCTTGCTCTTGCGCCCGGGTCCTTCTCCACTCCCCCTGGTTTTATGTCGGGCCTGTCCCCCTGCAGGGGGATCGTCGACGGAAAATAAGAGATACCTCAACAATAGTCAAAAATAGTCCAAGAATAGTCTGGGTACTATTTTTTGAGTATTGTTGGGCCTTCTTGGGGTATTTTTTGGGTATTTTTTCGTGGTAAATCCCCCTGTAGGGGGACACGCCCGACATAACCCTGGTTGTGGTGCAATTCCTGGGAGGTCGAGTTCGGAGTCGGCGCTGGTATGTCCCTGGTCGGGAGCGGGCCTCATCTGGCGCAATCCCGTTCAATCCGGCTGATTTCCGTGCAGTCTGGCTCAATCCCGGACTCAATCCGGCCCAATCCGGCTCAGTGGCCTTCCAATCGGGTTTCGTAGCCCTTCATCTTTCTGACGAAGACCTCCCAGGAGTTGCCTCCTGACCCTTGCTCCCACGCCTGCTGCTCATGCTTTTGCTCGTCTGTCGAGCCTCCGAAGCCGTCGGAGGGGCTCGCGGTCCGATGCGTGCTGGTGGCTGCGTGGCGTACCTATGGCCATCAGCCGAATGCGGGACCACACACGGTCGGGAACTATTGGACAGCGCGCCGCTCCGCCCGCTCTGGCCCACCACGCTTCGGCGCGACATGCGGACCACTTCCCAGTCCCAGAGCGTCAACGTCCCGAGCCTTTTTTAGCTCGGGGGTGGACAGAACCCTCAACAGTGACACGTCGATTAGTGAATGGTCCGTTTTTGGTTCTCGAGAGGGCGCCGCGGCCGTTATTTTTTAGGCTTGCGCCCGCCAGGTTTGGGCCCCGGGTCGTTTTCACTAAACCACGTTTTACTAAAGGGAGGTCTGGCCATCCCCGAAGCGTCAACGTCCCGAGCCTTTTTTAGCCTTCCGCCCCGCGGAGCGGAGCAGCACGCCATCCGCCTGCAGGGCACGGCGTGCCGCAAGGGACCGCCGCCGCGGCGGGCGGAGCAAGTCCTTTTTTACATGCTGCAGGGGGGGCGGCGGGCCCGAGGCGTGGGCGCGGAGCCAGTCGTGCGGCCGATCGTCCGGAGGGAAAGAAGCACACAGACACAATTCATCGTCGACTCCCCAGGAAAATATGGGAACATATGGGCATCGGGGGGGGGAAGACAGAAGCCCAGAGAATAGGGGGAAATAGGGGGGAATCCTTTTCATTTGTGTGTACTTCTTTGTGTGTCCCAGGGCCCCTTCAGATCGGGGAGTTGTTTTAGCCCTCCTGCGAGAGGGGCCCGTCGATGTGGCGAAGGCCTCGCGGCCGGCGCCGCCCATCCCGAAGGGGAGCGACGCCGGCAGCGCCGGCGGCGACGACGCTGGCGAGCCCCCCTTGTGGGACCTGTTGGCCTCGGGACCCCACCCTCGACGGGGCCCCCAGACCCCCTCGCGTTGTGAAAAAAGCACGACGGGATTTTTTTCGCTATTTTCGGCCTCCGGGGTCCCTCACCGGGCCTCGGGACCGTCAAAAAACGACTCCGGATGAAAAGCCGGTCCCGGGGAAGGGGTTCAGACCTCTGGGGGTCGACAGTGTGAAAAAATCACAACGCTGGGGGTCTGGGCCCCTCCCCAGGACCGCCACCAGCAGTGCCTTTCCGGGACCGGCCGATCGGAAGGTTGTCTCAGCTGTCTTGCGATGTGTTTCCCCCGACATGTTCCATTGGCATCATACCTACTGGTTCGATTGGCCGTGCCAGGACCGCCCAGAGTATCGACTGTCAGGAAGTTCTTCGATATGGGACGCTCGATGGGGTCGCCCCCTGGCTTGAGATGACGTTGGCCTCGCAAGGCGATCTGGGGCAATCACAATCTCACGAACAAGCCGTCTTCGTCAAGCCGCTGATCGCGACCACATCTCTGACTCCAGTCCTTCGACACTGACCACGACTCTCCTTGGACTTGCTCTGGCGGAGCGTGCGGCGGGAAGGGTTCTCAGCTCCGGAGGGCGCCCAGGAGTGTAAGGGTATGGCAGGGGGCGCCGCGAGAGGCAAAGCCGTGGAGGCAGGGAGAGGCGGTACTCCAGATTTCGTAATAAAGGGAGGGGGGTCTCATTTCGGGGGGGGGTCTCTTCCAGGCTATCTTGGAGGGCCTGGGGGGGTCTGGGGACGATGTTTTGGAGGGTTCACCCACGTGGGGGGGTCTGAAATGGCTTGTCTTGGAGGGTCCAGACCCCCTCCCTCTTATTACGAAATATGGAGTATGCAGATACGAGCTGCCCTTTGGAGCAGTCTGCGTCCTCGGAGCCAGGTCGTCGACGTGCAGCAGGGCGGGGCCCTGACGACGGAGGAGAGCCTGCGGCTGGGGCTCTCTGCGGCCAGCTCGGACAGAGGGGCCGCGGCTGCTCACGCGGCTGCGGGGACGTCGTACAGCCAGGATGCGTTTCGCATTTGCGCCGCAGAAGTCAGCCTTGCTTGCACCTGTTGGGGCTGTCGATCGCCACCCAGTCCCTGGTGGGCACCAGCTCTGCTCCCGTCAGGATGGCCGTCCTCGTCTTCCACATCGTCGTCCTCCTCTTCTTCTTGCTGCTCCCCCTCCTCGCCCTCCGTCATTCCTACCAGTCGCAGTCCAAGTTTGCCTCGAGGGCCAACTGCTGTCTGAAAGTTTCGTTGTCCCCAGCCTGAAAAGAGTTTTGTGGACCATGTGGGCCTACAGCAGCAGAGCCATCAGCCTCGTAGGCCTGAGTCGATCCAAGCGTGCCAGCCTGGGGGAACAGTGAATTCCAACTCCTAACGCTTCGCGTATTTTCACCAGCCCATCCAGAAGTGATTGCGGGGCGGCTTGATCTGGGAGCTGAATTTAAAGAGCATGACCAAACCTTAAGACACATCTGCCCAGGCAGGACCCCCAAATCGCCGCCTTGAGGCCCTCTGTGCGCTTGTTTGTTTTCTGATCTTTGGGGGTGCTCTTGGGGGTAATTGGGCCCTCCTGAGCCCCTATGCGGCATCTTTGTGCCATTTTTGGGGCCCATCGGAGGCCCCAACGGCCAGACAACCAAACCGACTGAAGAAATAAACAGCATGTTTCTGAGCTCTAGGGCCCTCGGGGTCATCCTCGTGGAGGACTGGGTGTACCTTCGCGCCATCTTGTAGCTTTCTGGGGTCCTGTCAGAGCCATGCCTGAGGCCATCTTGGGCATTGCACATGCTTGGCGTCGCAGGCCTAGAGGTTGACACCAACACCAATTTCGGCGGTGTGCCCCGACCGAGGGCAGAAGATCCCGATCTCGGGGACGGTGGTACTATTCTGGCTTCCAAGGTGACGGAAACATTACCACCAACACCGAAATCTAGGATCGTCGTCCCCCTGTGGAGGCAGCCCCCTGTCTTGGCGTTGGTGCCCATTTCCAGGCCTCCACTGGCGGCAAGGTTCGGACACCCAACGGCGCACTGTGCTCAGACTGCCCCTGCGTGGCCCGACCGGCTCAGACTCGCCTGCGGCTTCAGCAGGGGCCAGCCGCCACGCGCCTAGACGACCTCCTCCTCCTCCTCCTCCTCCTCCTCCTCCCTCCTCCTCCTCCTCCTCCTCCTCCTCCCTCCCTCCTCCTCCTCCTCCTCCTCCTCCTCCTCCTCCGCCTCCTCCTCCTCCTCCTCCTCCTCCTCCCTCTCTCCTCCCTCTCCTCCCTGATGATAGGGGGAAGGCAGGGGTGATAGAAGGGCAAACCCTTGCCGAGGGAGAAGGCATCACTACGGAGGGGTCGTTTTGGAAGTGCCTAGTAACTGCCCCAAACCGCCTGCTCCCAGAGGGCCCGCCGAGCAGAAGATACCCAGTCCTCGTCCTCGTCCTCTCAGCGTCATCGTCTCGTCATTCCTCCTCCTCCACCTCGTCCTCCTCCTCCTCTTCCTCGTCCTCCCTCTCCCACCCTCGTCCTCGTCCCCCCTCGTCCTCGTCCTCGTCCTCATCCTCATCGTCATCGTCATCCTCTTCCTCCACCTCGTCCTCCTCCTCCTCTCCTCCTCCTCCTCCTCCTCCTCCTCCTCCTCCTCCTCGTCCTCCCTCTCCCCCCCTCGTCCTTCCATCTCGTCGTCCTCCCTTTGTCGCCCACGTTGGCCCACCCGGTGTCCTCAGGAGGCGATGGGCGCCCCAGGGCTGCTCCCCCAATTAACCGTCGGCCGCGCGGCTCGACGCCAGTCGCCTCGGTCGCTCGAGGAGCGCGTCGGGACGCTCTGGCAGGGCGCGCTTCGATTCCTCCGATACGATTCGATTCGACCTCGATGGTTTCCGATTTCGATTCGATTCGATTTGGGGCTCCGATCTGAATTCCGATCGTTCGTTGGAGGCATGCTAGCCTGCCCAGGTCCGCCGATTCGACTTTTCCCGACTTGGTTGCCGATGTCCGCCAATCCGATTCATGCCGATCGCCGATCCGACTTACCGATCCGAGTCTGGGTTCTCCTGCGTTCTGGCTCCCTCCTGGTCTCTGCGGCGAGAGGTGTCGCAAGAGCCCCACGGTGCGGGCGTCACTGCCCCACGCGACCCCTCGCCGCAGCGATGATGGGATGACGCTTCCGGTGTTCTCAAAGGGAAGGCGTCGGGGGACGGGAGGGCGGGGCAGGCTGTTGTCGTTGAAGGCCACTGGGTGCAGTGATCTGAGCATGTGTGCGGAGAGAAGTCCAGAGCATGCGCGTAGAAAGTGCCCTGTCCCAGATCTGCATGGCGAGCCTGGGAACGCAGCTCCCGTCGACCACGGCAGTCTCTTCGACCACCCTTACATCATCACCGGCTCGTTTGTCCACGCGCACTCGCATTGAAAACGGCATCATTACTACAACGATTACAACGACCAGGCTAGCCACCAGCCGTCCGAACAGTTCAACTGCCAGTGTGACTACGGCGTCTATGGTGACGGGGGTAGCCTCCATGATCCAGTCGAACACCTCACATGCCAATACGACCAGAGTGGCCGCAACCGCGTCGACATCCACCACCATGACGATAACACGTACGACTACACCGAGCACGCGCAGCACGGCTACTGAAATCAAAGTTCGGCCCACCGAAGTATTCAGAGCATCTGTCCTCAACTCAACGGTATCTTTTGCCTCGCCAGCAACAGCGTCCAGAACGCCCGAGAGAGCTGAAGTGAGCTCATGGCTGGGCTGCTTCGAGTATGATAGGTCAGACATGAGGCACTTCTACGAGCACTTCGATGAGCACTTTTACGATAGTTCCTCGACCAATGACTGCAGCGAGAGGTGCCATGAGTATGAGTTCATCGCCGTGCACAACGAGAAGCTCTGCATGTGCATGCTGAAGCGGCCAGACCCCCCGCAGTTCGAACTCGTGCCTTCGCCTCAGCTTCCGCCCATCTAGCCTTGATTGGGCGGGCAATGAAGACGGGTTTGGGCGAGGGGAGGAGGGATGGGGAAGGGGGAGAGAGGGGAAGCGACAAGCTGGGTGCGCTCGCGTCATAACTGGCGTCCTCCCCCTCCCTACCACCCCTTACTATTGCGTAGACCCCATCTCGATTCGCACAGTCGGATGTCGCAGAAGACAACGATCCCCAATGGGTACGCGATGTGTAGCATGGCATGGCATGGACTTGCGTAGGAGAGCACGGAAGGGCGTGGTATTGCATAACATGGTGTGGCGTTGCGTAGCCAAACATGTCATATCATAGCATTGTTGCGCAAGGTATGACATCACATAACGGTACACAGCATAGCCTTGCATGACATGCCATGGCATGGCACGGAGACAATACAGCATGGTGTGGCGTTGTGTAGCCCAGCATTGCATATCGCAGCATTGCAGAGCAAGGCACGACATCACATAACAGCAGTACATATCATAACATAGTATGTAACTGTATACCATGGCGGCATGAACGGTGCAGCCAGGAAACCATGCTGGAGGACCGACAATTTGGAAATGAAGCCAGCGCTGCAGCGGGAACACCAATCGGAAGAACCAACAACGAGGTACTGAGCCCTGCGCTGCAGCGGGAGCTCGATTTGAAGGACAAGCTGCGCGGAGATGAGGTCAGCGCTGCAGCGGGTATCGAAGAACCGAATGCGAGGAAGTGAGACCAGCGCTGCAGTGGGAGCACGATTTTGAGTGACCAGAAGCGCGGAAATGAAGCCAGCGCTGCAGCGTGACCATTCATTTGAGCAACCGAATGCGAGGACATGAGACCAGCGCTGCAGTGAGCACGATTTTGAGTGACCAGAAGCGTGGAAATGAGGCCAGCATTGCAGCGGTACCATTTCTTAATGGACCAACCGCGACCGTCTTAAAACACACACACACAAATATTACAGCCATATTCCAGTATCCCCAAGTCGCATTGTTTGAGCAAAGGGGGCTCCTCAGAGTATTCGCGCGTCCTCCTGCTCCAGATCCGCCTGCGCCTTCGGCGTCGTCTTTGAGCTGTTCGTCATCGTCGTTGTCGTTCTCCTCCTGCGCATCCATGTCGTTCTCCTTCTTGGCCTCGCCCTCCCCCTTCCACTACACCTCCTTCTCATCATCCCAATCCTCTCTTCCTCACTCATCCTCGTCATCCTTCTCATCCTGATCCTCCTTATCCTGCTCCCCCTCCTCCTCCTTCCATACTTCCTCATATCACTCAGTCGCCCCCCTCCTCATACGAATCCTTCCCATCCTCGTGGTGCTTTTCCTCCTCGACGTTTTCCTCCTCATTAGCATCCTCCTCATTATCCTCTACCTCCTCATCGCACTCCTCCTTTTCATGTTCCTCCTCCTACTCTTCCTCCTGCTCGCCGTGCTCCTCCTTGTTTTCCTCGTCCTACTCCTCGTGTTCCGTGTCCCCAATCTCTTCGCAGGTCTCTTTTTCTTCCTCCTGCTCCTGCTCCTGTTCCTGCTCCTGCTCCTGCTCCTGCTCCTGCTCCTCCTCCTCCTCCTCCTCCTCCTCCTCGCAATGCTCCTCCTCCTCCTCCTCCTCCTCCCCTCCTCCTCCTCCTCTCCTCCCCTCCCTCCTCCCCCTCCTCCTCCTCCTCCTCCTCCTCCTCCTCCTCCTCCTCGTCCCTCCTCTTCTCCGCGTCCTCCGCTTTCTCCGCCATGCCAGGGATGCCTTCGCACTCCTCGATGCCGCTTCCAGGAGGCATCCCCGCCATGGCTGCCCTCAAGCAGGTAGTTCGGGCCTGCTCCCGTCTCTCCCTCCTTCATGCTCCTGCTCCCCTTTCCGTGCCTCCCGTCCCATCCTTTCCTGCCTCCTCCCTGCCCAGCGCGCTCTCGCTCGAGGCATCTCCACGATTGCATCAAGCATGGCTCCCCCCGAGAGCCCCTCTTGGGAGGCATCAAGGAATCGCGCTCGCGCGTCAGCGCTCGCTACCTCCTCCGTCGGCCAGTGGAGCCCAGACCCTTCTCAAAGCATCATTCGACAATCGGAAAGTCATACAATGGTTCTTTGGGGTATGACCCCCTTGCCCTCCCCATTCCTCCCTCTCGCAGCCCAGATGTTCGCGGATGTCTCAGGCGATACGCGCCAGACCACCTCGCGCGCAGCATCTCGGAAGTCAGAGTTGCGAGGGTGTCTCAAGCGAAACGGTCCAGACCTAGGCATACGAGGGCTACGCACCACCACCGAGAGCAAGACAGCACAGCAACGAAACCAACACACATCAGCGTTCTAACACCTCGCCTCCAACCATCCAGCAGCACATACCGTCGGCGCATGCGGCCTTTGACAAGCCTTTACGATTTGAAATGCGAGCAATGTGAGCCCGCCCCGCGACGGCGCCCCAACCGCGCACAGCAGAGGGAGGAGAAACTCACATTATATTATTGTGTACGATGGTAACCTAGCAAAGCGCCGGCTACACGTATACACCAGACACCAGCGAGGGGCAACGATTTGTTACGTCGAGCAACGTTCTGGTGTATATCTCGAACGCGTCAAAATAACGAGCGTCCGTATACCAGGAACCATTCACACCAGGAACCAAAAATCGCGAAACGCGCCAGACCACCTCGCGCAAATTTTCTGAGAGCCCATAACTCCCGAGGATGTCTCGAGCGAAACAAGCTGGTCGACCTCGCGCACATCTTCCAGGAGCCTGGAGCTGTCAGGATGTCACATGCGCAACGGGCCGGACCACCTCTCGTCGAGCGGCATCTCGGAGCCCAGAGTTGCGAGGATGTCTCAGGCGAAACGGGTTGGACCACCTCGCGCGCGACATTTGGGAGTTCAGAGTTGCGAGGATGGACTAGGCGGGGCCCAGACACCTCCCAGAGCACAAATCAAAAGGTTCTATAGGGTCTTACCCCTCCGTCCTCCTCCCTCCTCCCTCTTCTCTCTCGGAGCCCAGAGTTTCGAGGATCTCTCAGGCGCAACGCGACGGGCCACCTCGCGCGCAACATCTCGAAGCTCACTGTTGCGAGGATGTCTCAGGCGGAACGCGCTGGACCACCTCGCGCGGCGTCTTGGTGCCCAGAGATGCTACTTGGTCTCAGGCGAAACTGGCCGGACCACCTCTCGCGCGGCGTCTCGGATCCCATCATTGCAAGGATGTTTGCGGCGAAACGGCCCAGACCAGCACTCGCGCGGCATCTCGAAGATCAGAGATGTGAGGATGTCTCGGGTGAACCGGCCCAGACCACCTCTCGATTGGCATGTCGGAGCCCAGAGTTATATGTCTCGTGCGAAACGGCCCAGACCATTTCTCGCGCGGCATCTTGAAACGCGCCAGCCCTCTCTCACGCGCGGCGTCTTGGCGCGCAGACGTGAGGACGTCTCAAGCGAAACGGGCGGTACCCCTTCGCGCGGAGCATCCTGGAGCCCAGAGCTGCGATGATATCTCAGGCGAAACGGGCTGGACCCCCTCGCGCGCGGCGTCGCAGAGCTCAGAGTTGCGAGGACGGATCAGGCGGCGCCCAGACACCTCCCAGAGCACAATTCGACAATAGAAGTGTAATCAAGTGGTTCGTTTGGGTCTGACCCTTCTTTCCTACTCCCCCCTCCCTCTCGGAGCCCAGAATTTCGATGATGTCCAATGCGAAGTGCGCCAGACCACCTCGCAGGAAGCGTATCGAAGCCCAGAGTTGCGAGGATGTTTCAGGCGAAACGCGCCGGACCACCTCGCGCGCGGCGTCTTGAGCCCAGAGTTGCAAGGATGCCTGCGGCCAAACGTGCCGTTTCACCTCTCGCGCGGCGTCTCGGAGCTCAATGTTGCGAGGATGTCTCAGGCGAAACGTGCCGGGCCACCTCTCGCGCGGCATGCAAGGATGGACCAGGCGACGCCCAGACCCCTCCCAGAGGACAATTTGACAACGAACGGTTTGTTTGGGACTGACCCTTCCTCCCTCCTCATTCTCGGAGCCCAGAGTTCCGAGGATGTTGGACCACCTCGCGCGCGTCAGCCTGGAGGTCAGAATTGCGAGGATGTCTCAGGCGAAACGCGCCGGACCACCTCGCGCACAACTTCTCAGAGCTCAGAGTTGCAAGAATGTCTCAGGCGAAACGCGACGTTTCACCTTCCGCGCGGCCTCTTGGAGCCAGAGTTGCGAGGATGTTTTAAGCGAAACAGGACAGACTGTCTCGCGCGCGGCATCTCGGAGCCCAGAGTTGCGAGGATGTGTCAGGCGAAACGCGCTGCACCACCTCTCGGAGCCAAGAGTTTCGAGGATGTCTCAGGCGACACGCGCCAGACCACCTCGCGCGTGGCAGCTCGGAGCTCAGGATTTCGAGGATGTCTCAGGCGAAACGCGCCAGACAACCTCGCGCGCGGCATCTTGGAGCGTAGAAGTGTTGGGATGCTTCAGGCCAAACGATCGGACCACCTTGCGCGCGGCATCTCGGAGCGCAGACTTGTGAGGATGTCTCAGGTGAACTGCGCCAGACCACCTTTCGCGCGGCGTCTTGGAGCCCCGAGTTGCGAGGATGTTTCAAGCGAATCGCGCCAGACCACCTCGCGCGCGGCATCTCGGAGCCCAGAGTTGGGAGGATGTCTCAAGCGAAACGGCCCAGACCACCTTGCGCGGAGCATCTCGCAGCCTAGACATGCGAAGAAGTCTCAGGCGAAACGGACTGGAGCACCTCGGGTGCAGCATCTCAGAGATCAGAATTGCACGGATGTCTCAGGCCAAACGCGCTGGACCGCCCCGCACTCGGCAGTTCGGTGCTCAGAATTGCGGGCATGTTCCAGGCGAAACGCCTTGGACCACCACTCGCACGGCAGTTCGAAGCTCAGAGTTGCGAGGACGTTTCAGGCGAAACGCGCCAGACCACCTCTCGCGCAGCAGCTCGGAGCGCAGAGTTGCGAGGATGTGTCAAGCGAAACGCGCCAGACCATCTCTCGCGCGGCGGCTCGGAGCTCAGAGTTGTGCGGATGTCTCAGGCGAACTGCGCCGGACCACTTCGCGCTCGGCGTCTCGGAGCTCAGGATTGCGAGGCTGTTGTACGCGAAAAGGACTAGACCACCTCGCGCGCAGCAGCTCAGAGCGCAGAGTTGCAAGGATGTCTCAAGCGAAACGCGCCGGACCACTTCGCGAGCAGCATCTCGGAGCTCAGAAATGCGCGGAGGTTTCACGCGAAAATGACTGGACCACCTCGCGAGCGGCAGCTCGTAGTTCAAAGCTGCGAGGATATCTGATGCGAAACGCGCCAGGCCACTTCTCGCGCAACATTTCGGAACCCAGACTTGCAAGGATGTTTCAAGCGAAATGCGCCAGGTTACTTTACGCGCGGCGTCTCGGAGATCAGACTTGTGAGGATGTCTCAAGCGAAACGCACATGACCACTCGCCGGCACCTCGGAGCTCAGGATTTCGAGAATGTCTCAACCGAAACGACCGAACCTGGCCCATTCGGAAACGAGAGTTGTGAGGATGTCTGAAGCGAAACGGCCCAGACCACGCTTCTGGTAGGATTTCAGCAAACTGTTTTGGGAACGAAAAGGAATATTGGACATCTTGTTTATGAGAGAAGCAATATGGGGAGATGGCGGAGCATCTCCTGGACAGAGTCAGGAAAGACAGGAGACCAGTACTCATAGTGTTCAATTGTGGAGGGTAGGGGCGGGATGAGGGGTGGGGGGCGGGACGGGAGGGCGAGACGATGAGAGAGGCTGGCTGTGGACGAGAGGGAAGGGTGGGCTGTGGCGAGGGGAGGAGGGAGGGGCAGGGAGAGAAGAGGGATGCGAGGAGGGCAGGCGGGAGGAGAGCTGGGGACGGGATGGGGGAGGGCGGGGGAGGGGACAGGAGGCGAGGGGGGAGTGGTGGGCGGGTCTGCAGTAGGGGGTCGGGCAGGGCGGAGCGGAGGGCGAATCGGAGGGCGGAGAAAAAAAGGGGAGGGCAAACTATGTGCGCTTGCGCCAGAAAAAGCACCCTGCCTTTTCCCGCCCATTCCTTCTCATTGCGCTGACTCTTCTCCTATCTACGGACGCGTGCCATAGCGGGCCTGGAGCCCCAAAAAGCAAATTTCGCGTTGCGCGCGATTGGGGGAGGGGAGCTGCGTACATATGACGAGGAGGTGGCGGATGAGCAGGAGGATGGGCAGGATGAGAAGGAGGATAATAAGGAAGGAGGAGGACGAGGACGAGCAGCAGCAGGAACTTGAGTGCCAGAAGCTGGAGGAGCAGGATGACCAGGGGAAGGCGGAGAGGAAAGGAGGGGTGTGACAACGATGAGGAGGGACTCGGCTCCAGGACTCGGATCCAGGAAAGGGGCCCACGCTGGGGCGAGAGCGCCAGTCTGAACGACGGGAGCAACGCCCCGATCCCCAAATGAGGCCCACCTGCAGCGGGAGCACCGTCTTGGAAGGAAAACGAGCAGGCTCGGATTGGAGAGAAGTAGTAGTACAACCAGCAAATGATCTATCCTGTGGGGGAACCAGGACTACCTGGAAGGGGGGGGCGGGAGCGCGCCACTCTCGGGAACTCTTCGAGGGAGAGGAGAGCAGCGTTCACACGGAGTACTGCTGAAGGGAGGGGTGGCGGATGTGGCAGCCGGCACGAGATGCGAGGTACGCAGCGCCAGGAATGATGCTTGCATTGGTAGGGTTGGGGTGCACAGGTTGATATGGTATTGTTTGCGCAGGGTCAGAGCTTCCTTCTGGGACTCGGCCCTTCGTGTGCCCAGGCCAGCTCATCCCAGAACAATTCCCAGGCAAGTTGCCGTGGGACAGACAGGGGAGGCACCAGCCAAACCAGAGGAGGTGTTAGCCAACACAGCCCCCAATCATGGCGAACTTGGGGCGTTCTGGGGGCTCCGCTCGGGGCACAGTGGCCTCAGAATTGTTTTGGGTCTGTGATGTGTTGGGGGGTGGTTCCCCCGCCTCTGTAAGAACATGTGCGCAGCTGCACGCGTGCTGCTGAGGGCCGACCTCCGCTGCGGCAGCATCTGCCGCGGCGAGACCCACATGCTGCCAGAGCGCTTCTGCGGAACGTCGGAGACGCCCAGGGCTTACATGCGGGAGGGGGCGGGGACTGAGGGAGGAGGAGAAGGGAGGGAGGGAGGGAGCAGGCAGAGGAGGAGGAGGAGGAGGAGGAGGAGGAGGAGGAGGAGGAGGAGGAGAAGGAGGAGGTCGACGAGGAGATGGAGGAGGAGCGGCAGGAGTCGGCGCGCCATCTGGGCCCTGCACCGACAACGATCGCAGGCTAGTGCGTACAGGGCGCGCGCACATACATGACGCGAAAGCGCTCATTACTATTCATGCTTTCCGTACTGGTTGGCGCGATCTGATCTAATTTCAGACGGTCTATTGTATGTTCAGATCATGTGTGTTGCCATTTAAATCCGATTGAAGCCACACGGCGGCGTGGCGAGAATACGTTCCATGTTGGGCCTGGTTCGGAAACCGAGCAGCAGACCTCGGTGCTACATCCGTAGCTGAAAGCTAGGCTAACCTTCCATCTGTGAGGACGGGCTTCTACCCGGTAGCCAAGACGGTACAGGAGTTGTCAATGTTGTTTCCAGTGGTTTCGGATACGTTCGCCGCCCGCATTGTTCAAACTGTAGCCAAGGTTGAAAGTGTTGGAAGTGCAGAAACGGATGTTGTTGAATCGTCTTCATATCCCCTCGGGCACCAGGTTGCACGAACAAGCAACACTTGAGTGTGTGTGTGTGTATGTTCAGTGAGGTGAACGGGACTGTTCTAGAACAGCCATGTGTGTTTTCGCGCTTCGTCACGGCAGCACCCGCAGTGCTTGCACCGCCCACCCATCCCACAATTGGTTGCCGTGGGCTGGGTGCCTACCCAGTGTTCCACATGCTGTGTCCTCGGCACGGAGCGGTCCATGCTCTTTTTCCCAACCATCCTGTGGCGTTGGGTCCTCATACCCTCCTTCCCCTCCTCCCTCCTCGCCATCACTGCCTCTGCCCTCCGCATGCCCATTTCGGCACACTCCTCACACGTTTCGTGGCCCCTGTGGGGAGCTCCACCGAAGGCCCCAGTGGCACCATCCACATGTTGGCGCCATACCCGTTTCGGCACACTTACACACGTTTCGTGGCCCCATGCGGAGCCCCACCGAAGGCCCCAGAGGCACCGTCCACATGTGGAGCCCGTTTCGGCACACCCCTCACACGTTCAGTGGCCCCATGGGGAGCCCCACAGGAGGCCTCAGTGGCACCATCCACATGTTGGCGTTACACCCTTTTTGACACTCTGCTCACGTTTCGTGGCTCCATAACGATAGGGAGCTCCACGAAGGCCGCAGTCGCACCGTCCACATATGGGCGTCACGCCTGTGTCGGCACACCCTTCACACGTTTCGCTCCCCATACGGAGCTCCACCGAAGGGCCAGAGGCACCGTCGACATGGTGGCCTCGCCCCATTCACCACACCCCTCGTACGTTTCGTGGCCCCATGAGGAGCCCCACCTACGGCCCCAGTGGCAGCGCCTGCTTGGCGGCCCCGCCTCATTTCGGCACACCCCTCACGCTTCGTGGACCTGTCAGGAGACCCATCGAAGGCGATACTCACAACGGCGGCACTCACACCTGCATATGGTTGGCCCCTTCGCCAGGACTTCGGATTCGTGCCGAGAGGGGCCGCGGGGTAAGGATGCCGCGAACCGCTGGCTCCTCCCGACAGGGGACCGATCCCTCCAGCAAGCCGTCTGGTAAGATCTCCTCGCTCCTTGAGCCCTTCGCCGCTGCGCGGCCACCGCCTCGCCTCCCCTGAGCAGCCGCCGTGTGCGGCACCGGTGCCCTTCCCACTTGTCTTCCTCAACCCTCCTGCGTGGTTGCATCCTTCAGGGGCCTTCTTCCCCCTCCCTCCGCGGCCGCTGCCTCTTTTTTCCTGTGCTTCCTCTTGCAGCGCATCAGTCTGCTGCACGCTGGCCCAGTGCCTGCCCGACCGATCTGCGCGAGCGCCCAGTCCGCGACGGAGACGTTTGCGGCACACCCCTCACGCGGATCGTGTTCCATAGGAGGCTCCACTTACGGCCCAAGAGGAGGGTTCGTGTGCCGCGGCGCGCCGATTTCGGCACGGTCCTCTCGCGAATCATGCCTCATAGGCAGTTCCGCCTACAGCCTCATTGGCCAAGCTCACATCCCGCGACGCGCCCATTTCGGCACCCCCCTCACGCGGGCCGTGCCCCGTGGGGAGTTCCACCTATGGCCCAGGGTGGGACTCTTCTTGCCGCGGCGGGACCATTTCGGCACACCCCTCACACGGATCTTTCCCACATGATGGCTTCACCTGCAGAGGCAGTGAGGGCGTTCGCATGCGGGCCCACGCCCGTGTCGGCACACCCCTTTCACGGATCGTTTTCCAGTGGGGGCCCCACCTACGACACCGCTGGGGGCGTTGGCTTGCGGGCCCGCTCCCATGTTGGCGCACTTTTCTCGCAGATCGTGCTCCTACGGCGATGTGCAGCACGATCGCGTTGAATGTGGCGGGATATGCTAATTACTCGCACCCGCAGGAGGGCTCTCCACAACCCTTTCCCGACTTCTGAAAGAGCACGTTTTGTGGTCGCTTGGAGGGGTGGGGGGAGGTGTTTGGAACTGGACCCCCCCACCCTCCCCCCCCAAACTTCTCCTCTCTCCCTCTCCTCGGGCCGGCGCCGGCGTCGGCGGCGGCTGGCGGCGGCGGGGGTGCTGGTGGTGGTGGTTGTGGCGATGGTGGTGGTTGTGGTGGTGGTGGTGGGTTGTGCTGCTGGTAGTAGTGGTGGTGGTTGTGGCGGTGGTGGTGATGGTGGTGGTGTGGTATATTGTGGTGATGGTGGTGGCAGTGGTGGCGGGTTGTTGTATTGGTGGTGGTGGTGGTGGTGGTGGAGGTGAGCTGTTGTTGTGGTGGTGGTGGCTGTGGTGGTGGTGGTGGTTGTGTGGTGGTTTGGTGGTGGTGGTGGGTTGAGGTGGTATGGTGGTGGTCGTGGTGGTG